CCCATCAACAGTGAATAAGGGTTCCAGTCTCTCCACAACCTCGCCAGCATTTGTTGCTTGCTGTTCTGTTAAATTTTGCTAGTCTTACTGGGGTGAGATGATATCTCATAGTTGTCTAAATTTGCATCTCTCTCAGAGCTAGGGATTTTGAAGCGATTTCCACATGCAATGTTTAAGCCTTCTCTGCCCAAAACGGAAATGGAAAAGACAAAGCTCCTGTCCATCTCTTGGTAATGCCATATATAAAGAGGAAATCTCTAATCTCATCTTCTCACAGATATTAAGATGCAATTAAAGTTATTTTTCATTACTGAGCATTTTCTCTATGCTGAATGAAAAGATCTGAAGAGACTGGTGGAAACAGCAGAGGTGTTGGGAGAAAGACAAAGCAAAGACAGACTGGCCCGGTAAGACTCAAAAGAGAGGCTGAGGCTGCACCTCACAAACCTGTTTATGTCCTGGTGCTGGATACTGTTCCATATACCTTCTTCTACAAGAACAAGCAATTCTTCTGCAGCTGCCTTTTCACCATCAGCCAGTTTAGATAGTTTTTCAGCTATAAGAAATATGAACAACAAAATATGACTGAGAGAAAATGTCAGAAACTACACACTTTTAGTTTGAATAGTATGCTCAGGGCCATTTCAGCACCCATTAAAAGGGTTCAACAAAGTGAGATGAAGAATACTCTGTAGGAAAAGCAGCAACAGGAAGATCATAGTTTCTTCCCCAACTGGTCCCATCACTCAATGCCTTAAATCTATTCATCCCACTTCTTTACACAAAACTAATCCCATAAAGAAAAGGTAGTGTACCTAGGGATTCCTTGGTGATGTTGTAATGAGCATCTGCATCTCTATATTTGTAGCTCAAAATTATATTGGCCACTTTCATATCAACTCGGAGCTTGAGGCTGTCAAGGCCGAGCAACTCAATGAAACAAACACAGGCAGCTCCTACTGAAGGTATATAGAAGGATGAGAGACCTAAAACATAGGCTTCATTGGCTACTTGCTGAACCCTATTAAAAAAATCACATCAATAATTAAAATAGTTCACACACAAATAATTAAGCAAACATAAAACCAAGCAGTATGAGAAGAAATGAGCGACAAGAAAGGTAAAAGGCTCACAGTACATAAACAGCAAACTGGCACCATGAATTAAACAGGAGTTATTCTAAGAATGAAAGGATAGTTTAACCTAAGAAAATCAATCAACGCAATATACCATAGTAACAGAAAGAAGCAAAAGACCACAGATCTTCTCAGCTGATGCCTCTGACAAAATCCAGTGGCCTTCTAGGATATTTAGAAAAGTATAAAAATGGTAACAAAACTCACAAAACCCCTCATCACCCAAATACAATCTGTTAACTGCTTACAATGGCCTATGTTTCTGGTATTTTTCAAGTATTCGATTACATATGTATAAAATGTCTTTTTGGAGTACAACTTATATTTAAATACTCACAGCTGTTTGGGAGTTTTGCTCTTGGTTAATTCTTGGACCAGAAAAGTACCAAATGCAAATGATGGCCGTCCATGATGCAAATAATACGCAAAACTCAGACGTTCCACTATAGCATACTTATTAACCAAGTCTGGTCTAGAAAAATGTGGGAGATCACATGATGCATCTGTATGAGAGGAGAGAAACAGTATTAGTGCTGTGTACCTCAACCAACATTAATTTCAGAAGGTTACAATGAAAACTAAACTTTCCAATGATAAAGAAAAGTCAGGTGCCATATTACTTTGGACCACCATCACCACTGTACCACATTGCCAAACCCACTGTTCTGAAGTCTGTTCTGACTCACAGAAACTCTGTCCACCTCACTGGACAGAGCAGAACTGCTCCACAGTGTTTTTAAGGATGTAATCTTTACAGAAGCAGGCTGCTTCATCTTTCTCCCATTGAGCCAGTCACGCCCTTCGGCGGCTTTCCAGAGACAGTTAATCACATGGGAGAAGACTGCCCATCTTTTCCCCCTGAGGTGCAGCTGGAGGCCTTGAACTCTGTGCCTTCGGAATTGCAGCACAGCTTCTTGCCACTATGCCACCAGAACACCCTTCAATGTATAAAAGTAGCCATTATTTCACAGAGAACGTACAACTGAGGTGCTATATAAACAGTGCTCTTCTTTTCAAAGTTCAAAATTTATTCTTGAAATAAAGCTTTATGTCCCATGGAAAAAGTCTTTTTACACTGTGACTTGGTTTCTTTCTATAAAGACTTGAAGGCCTTAAAAATGTGTTACTTTACAAAACTATTATTTAAAAGTACATCCCTTCAACATTAAAAAATTTTCACATGCCTTACCTATATTCTTTGTGAGATCTGAAGAACTTAATTAACATAATTACATATGAAACTACTTATGCACTCATTAAATAGTTGCTGAATACTTGTCACACATACAGCATTGCCAGGTGCTGAACTAGCAAATTTTAGGTTTTTACTTAAATGGAAAACTCAAACTCATCGCTGTCAAGTCAGTTCCCACTCATCGCAACCCTCTTATCGGATTTCAAAGGCCCTAAGTAGCAACTCAAAGAGCTGCTGGTGGATGCAAACCCCTGGAGATGCACAGTCTTTAAACGGTGCAATTCACTACGAACTATACCACCAGAGCCCTCTAATCACTCAAATAAGATCCTCATTAATTAGTAGGCTGGGGGACTTAGTGTGGAGAAAGTGTAATAGAAAAATACTACCTGATGTGAAATATAACTCTGGCTTGTTGCAGAGGCAAAATCATCATACAGTATTTTTATAACTCCTTTCAATGGTAAAGCCAAATGGAAAAATGAGGTTAGCACTCATATAATAATGTTTTCACAGTAATAATTTCCTATTTCCCCCTTAAATATACAGACATGGCTTCAAATTATTTCCGGACTGTACATTTCTCTAGATCGTATAGCCCTGGTGTACAAATTGCCGTTCCGCGGTCACTTGTGGTTGCTGTGAGGCTGAACACTGTGACATGGATGTGTCAAATGTGTTAATGGTTGGCTACCCAATGTGGACTGAGAGTGGGGTGGAGCTCCCCGATTAAACAAGTGTGGAAAGAAGAGTGGCATCCACTTCCATAATAGCTTGCCTCCGGAAAACCTATGAACTTGGAGAGAGGATGAAAGGCACCCAAGCGTCAAGGACTCTCCTTCATAGGGTCGCTATGAGTCGCCTGCGATTCAACGGCAATTAACAACAACAACAATCTAGTTGTGTATTTATAAGAGGTGATCATAATGTTAACAAGTAAGGAATCATTAGAATAGGACAGGGCATTGGGTTTTTTAATACCTTCACTGACATTAGAAAGAATATTTGATTTTGAAAAAGCAGTTTATTCATCAGTCACACTCCAAAGATTTACTGAGCAGCTATTACTAGTCTAGCACCACACTAGGCTCTGAGCAGGAGGTAAATTCAATTTATCAAAATGTGAAGTTAAAAAAACGGATAAATTAGGAAATCCTTTTTTATCTGTCAATAAATATTCATGGGGTACACATTATATGCAAAGTGTTAATTCAAATTCTCAAATTTATTTTAATATAGGTAGAGGTACTATTAGTAAAATGGTATTAAAAACTAAGTCTGAATGTTAAAAGTGAAAGCAGACTTTAAGCACAGCACAAAAATCAGAAAAATTGTTACAATCTAAAGAGATCAAAAAGGTGTCTGTACCTTGTTCTTACATCTGCAAGGAACTGTGGGAGGTTTTTAATCACTGCTGTATGTGTACACTGATGTGTATGATGTGTAACCTGTTCCTAACCTTATTTGACAGAGAATGTACTACTTACCTATGGTCATATTGTTACTACATGGTAGAGTCAGGATTAATCTAATGTCATAGCCATTACTATATTAATAATATTCTATCAAAAAGGATTTGGGGAAAGGTGTAAATATAAGCAGACAGGTACAAATAACATTTTCCAACACGGACAGCACATTAAGTGTCATGAAGTCACACTATGTTTTCAATTCTATCTTCTAGAAAATGTTTTCCATTTGAATATATCTTTATTTTTAGAATGAAAAGCACTGGAAAACTGGATTGCAGTTTTATAAGTTAATACCTCCACTGTTAAACTACTGAAATGCTTCAAAACCAGGAAGTAGCTCTCATAACTTACCTCCGATGGCTAGTGTGTTGGCAGACTGCCAGCCAAACAATCTGCTGGAATCAAAGGGCAATAATGACTGAAAAGGGGGGAAGCAAACCATGGTGAAAAGTCAAATGATTGTAAAATAAGAAAATAAAACTTTATGAAAGGACTTCAGAGTGAGCTAGCCTCCTTTATTTTCTTAAAAAAAAAATTCTCATTTTAACACAGCCAAAAATAAACTAAAAAAGAGGTCCTGAGATACTTTTCTGTATTCATTTGGCCTTGTTACTCTTCAATGTGCCCCTTATTTCAATCTATACCTGCAAAATGCACTCTTTTAGTAGAAGTACTTTCAATTATAATATAAAATGGGCTTTGGAAACAGTTTTAGAATAAAAAAGAGGACTAAGGCTCTTAATTGCTATCACATTCTTAAAGGGGTCTTTGCCCCAGAAAGGATTAAACAATTTTAGTTTAAACAAACATCTCTAATTCACTTAAGAGAGACATGAGTAAAAAGTGCTAGAATGAAAGAGCCTTTGGAAGCAACAGATAGGTTTGCTGGTCAACTACCTGTTTGCTCTTAGATTCATTTCCCCCCTTCTCTGCTCTGCTCTGTAATGCAGGGAACCACATTCCCTAAGCTTCCTTATCTACTGGTAGGTTTGGTCATGAGAGACACAAGTGGGAAATTAAAGGTGGAGAAGAGACCAAGATAATTTTTCTCTTCTCTTTTTGTTTTCTAGGATAACTCCAAGGTCTAGTCTCATGCTGTATGTTGCTAGTTCCCAAGAGGTAGCCTGTAAAGAACTTAGCTTCCAGAATGCTCCAGCCTCTGGGTTCTGAAAAACACCACTTTCTTGTACTGTTCTTCCAACCTTATGGGTGTTGAGTACATTCATATTTGCTAATCTTGGACTGCCTCAATACTGAATGTTTGGTTTCTCCATACTTATATCACACTCTAAAAGCAATTAAATTTCCACCCTTTGAAATATCTAGTTTCTGTTTACCTGACTGATAGAACACATTACCTAAATTCTGTACCTGAATAAGATGGTAGAGGGTAATATCATGTGGCAGGATACTAGGGACAGTGTACTGTGGGAACAGAGCAGTCTTTAACTTGGGGTAAGGAGTTAGTGCCATCTTCAGCAGCTGAGGATCCACTTTTTTCAAACAGTTCTCATTTTCTTCATTCTGAACAACCTAAGTGAAAAGACAACAGAGTTTAGTGTAATGCTTGTGCTTTCTCAAAATTTAAGTCCTTCTTAGAGGAACTCTGAAAAATAAGATCAACTTAGACAGAGTATGCAATAGTGAAAATAGCACTGGACAAAAAGTTAGAAGCCATGAGTTCTTGTCTTGGTTTTAAAACAAACTAGCTGTGAAACCTTGTGCTAGGTAATTAATAGATGATCTCAATTCCTCACTGAATCTGAAAGTGGAGATATAACAGTGGTTTCTAAAATGTGGGGGGGAAACTACCTGAAAAGGTTCTGCTATGTTTGAAAACCATTAGATTAGATGAACCTTATGTCCTTCCAAACTATCCTGACTGTAATTTATTATTATTATTATTAATTATTATTAATTTCAATGAACATTTACAGAGATTGTGGATTTCCATTCATTCATTGTTGCACTGACTGTAATTTTTGACAAGTAATTAAAACAGATGAAATAACTAACTATACTAATTTAAGGTACATTACAAACATCTAGTAGAGATGGTATTAAATTAAATAAGTATCAACAGAGACTTAGTAAGATGTTTTCTTATCTTGGTAAATTTAAGAATTCCTAAATTTCTTCTAACCAGGCATCTATACTTTCAAAAAGACAAAGTTGGGAAAATTTTCCTTTGAGTCCCTCTAAAGAGATTATATGAACAGCTAAAGATAGTAATTTCCTTTTTATCTATGAGGCTATCTGATACATTTAGCCATGAGAGAATAGAGAATAATTCTCTTATTTTTTTTTAAAAATTCTCTATTCATAAAAGGGAATGAGAGTTGCTGTTGTCAGATATCATCACGTCAACTATGACTCACAGGGGCCCTATGAACATCGGCTCTGAATTTTACCCTATATCCTGTTGACATCCTCATCCTCTCTCACGCACTAGAAGAGAATAATACCCAAACCACAAATCTAAAGTATATTTATTCTCTGAAGCAATTAGATACTGATTCTCTGCTGAAAACAAAGCTAGGTAATTAGAAAACAAAACAAAAAAAATAATCTCTAGATACATTAAAAAAGGTTATATAATTTCTCTATAAGGTACTAGTTCCCACATAACTTAAAAAATCTCCGGTTCAAATCCACCAGATGCTCTGCTGGAAAAGGAGGAACAATTTCCTCCTGTACCAGTCAGATCTGATTTGACGGTACACACACACAAATAATTATTAAAAAAAAAAAAATCTCACAACTTAGAGGACAGAAAAGAAAATCTTAAAATGCACCTTTTTAAAAAAAATGTTCTTTAATTTAATGAAACACTTGCAAGTTGTTATATTTTATTATTAATTAAGACCTAAGTAGCCCATAGATATTTCTGCTAAATATAAAGTTAGTCCTATTTAACTCTTAATAGGTGAAAGTGTCCATACCTGGCTAACACCCCCAGGAGCATACATTGTGGTAGCAAGGGCCAGGAGGGTGTGTCCTTCCAATAGCATACTGCTTACACTGGCCTGATTGCTAGGAATCAGTATCTGAGCATTTGCAAGGCTGGCCTGGAAGATTAGTTTTGGATCTGAAAAATAAAAGATTATGTTTTTCTCCTCAAGAAGGATAAATACTAAGGATGATAAAATTATGAAAATTAATTTTTAACTATCAAAAGTTAAGAAGACCTTTCTTAATTGGAAAAGAAGAGATAAATATCATAAAGGGAAAGAAGAAAAGTTATACCTACTTAAAAAGATAAAAATAAAAACTTTTATCCAAATAACAAAACCTGAAAAGTAACAAGAGGAAATTACAATAAATGCTATTTAAAGATCAATGTCTCCAACAAAGAGATCATACCAATCGATTTTAAAAAACACTGACCCCAACTGATAAATGGACCAAAAAAAAGTAACTGATTTACAAAAGAGGAAATACAGATATCTGACACATAAAAATGTATGATTCTCTAGTAACAAGAAAAGGAAGCCTGGTGGTGCTGTGGTTATGCAGCTGGCTGTTAACTGAAAGGTCAACTGTTCAAACCCACCAGTGACTCTCTAGGGGATAAGACCTGGTGTTCTGCTCCTAATAAAGATCACAGCCTACAAAATCCTATGGGAAACTCTGCCCTGTAGTTAGAATCCACTGAAAGACACTTAAGAACAGCAGCAACAAGAAATATACATTAAAATAGTAATTACATGCCAAAGATCATCTATAGCAAATAATCATCTCACACACACTAGATTATTTTACTCTATCTGGAGCTCTTAACAGAAGACTCAGAGCAGGCTCTTTGAAGAGAGGTTTACTGATCCTGATGTGTCAGCTGGCCAGATAGCAGGAATTCAAGTGTGGTTAACTGTGGGAATAGGGTACAGAACTGAGGTTGCACGGGGTGAGGGGACATGTGGTTACACATACTCTCTACTCCATTACTGGCTTTTGGCTGACACCTTTGGTATTCTGCACACAACTATTAAGTTTCTTAAGTAATATGTACTTAAGATTATAATCAGATATTTGATTAAAGCTAAATGATTTCTCTAAAGAGTTCACAAATTAATTAACATTTGACAGACCAGTTACTCATCTAAAGAAATTTTCTATGTGTAATACACTATGCCCATACCTGTTAAATTACTGGAAACTTGTCGACACTGAACTAAAAATTCAAACCAGGGATAAGCTTCATGCAATTCTTTTTTTTCCAAAAAGGAACAATTTGGAGGATTAAGTCTGTACACAAAACAAAGAATAAATTATCTAATTAACATATAGAATAAAAGAAAAAATTTTAACTATATTTGTTCAATTGGTAACTGGTAGAAAAATGGAGTCCTAGAACAAAAAAGTATATATAATATAAAACATTCCTACTTTTACATTATGCTTTACATATTCTTTATGATCTGGAAATACGTAACATTTTAGAGATAGATACCATTACCTAAAATGTTTATAGTATCAAGACATCTATTCTTTTGAAACTATGATAAAATGATACCAACTCTATATAAAGAGTAATAAATAGCTTGCATTTTTGCACACCTATCAAGAGGCTTTGGGAGCCTGGTGGTAAGAAGCTATGCTGCAATTCCAAAGTTACACAGTGTAAATCCACAGATGCTCTGCGTAAGGATGGGCACTCTCATCTTATACTGACTCTGAAAACCCACTGGAGGGTCAGTTATGAGTCAGTTCTAACTTGACAGCATACAACAACAAAGAGAGGCTTAACCTGAAGAATTAAAGCTCAAAATAAATCCTCTGAAAAGAGGCTTTTAAGTTTGTTCTTACCAGTAGCTATATATACCAAAACATTCTAAGTAAGTGTCAAGGATATGAACCAGAAATATAGCCTCTACTCCAACTTATTTGCAAGCAAGAGTAGCATCCACTTCTTAAACAACATGCCTCTGAAACTCTATGAACTTTGAGAAATGACAATATTTCTAGAAAGGTTTCAGGTCTTTTGTTCATAGGGTTGCTATGAGGCATGCTTGACTCGACGGCAATCAATAACAACCACCCCACTTCTAGTCTTTACTGCACAAAATCAAACTATAATACTCTCTATAAGTGGGCAAACATGACCTCTGAACTCCAGCAGAAATAGAATTAAATCTGGCTCTGCATGCATTATGCAAGCTATAGTTGAGCCTCATCATTCAAGTGTAAACTCCATTATCTGTTAAACTCATTAATATTTATTTGTATTCCCAAAATCAGTTTTGTGATACTCTCATGGTCATTAGTGGATATGTGCAGAGATATATCTTGTGCCAATTTCCCCTCCCATTTTTGTTGGTGTTTTTTTGTTTAAGATGTCTAGCAAGCACAGTGCTAAAGTGCTGGGATGTGCCTTGTGGAGAAAACTGTGTTGGATAAAATTCTCTCAAGTATGAGTCAGAATGCTAGAACCTGTCAGTTCAAGTTAACAGACCAAGACTTAATATCTATTAAATAAAGGGCCTATAAAAGAAAACTCTTCAAATTCCTCACTGCTGTTAGTAGTAACCAACTCACAGCTGACCCTCCAGCAGGTGTCACCTTTGAGTCAGCAGTGCAACTCCCTGAGGACTGCGCCACCAGACCACCCAATAGGCCATGCCTCTCTAGAGGTTCAAATCCACCAGCAACTTTGTGGAAGATGAGAAATTTCCTCCTGTGCAATTTATATCTTCCCCAAAATCCCCTATAAGATCAGCTATTAATTGGTTCCAACTCAATGGCAATACTAGAAGCAGTATGTGCCATTTACTTCCTAAATAATAGGCCTTTGAAAACCCGAAGAACACTAAAGACAGACAATAATTATACTAGTGTAGTGGTAGAGCCCAGACTGAAGCCAGTTAAAATGAGGATACGGTGACTGCTGTAATGGGCTCTTATGTGTCAGTATAGCGCAAAACAGAACAGGGTTCGGATCTTTTGTTCTTAAGGTCGCTATGAGTTGTTCTTGATGGCATACAACAACAATGCCAATGAGTTTAAAATGAAACATACATAAATAGAGCTTTATACTGATTAGCTGATAAACATGTTGTGACCAGAGGGTGGCAGGAATTTAAACTTAGGAGCAATGTACTTCTCCTAGGATCAGTGGTTCAGTATTTGGTATTCACATGAACTTTATAAAGTTTAACACTGATGAGAATCGTTAGAACTTAAATTTCTCTTTGAGGTCTTGAGTGTATCCATGTGTGAAATAGAAATAGTACCAACCACTGACCTAATTTTTTTAAATGCTGAATGAGACAAGATATATACAGAAAGAACACTTAACTCAGTGTCAGGAACCCAGTAAGAATTAAAATTTCAGAGACTACTATATTATTATTGCTATTACATACACAATATTTAAAAATAAAGATTTTAAAAAATATAATGAATAGATGTTTAAATTTATCTATTTTTAATTCTGTAAATATGTGTGTTTAAAAACCATATACAGCACAACAAGATAAAGGTATATAATCCAATTGAAAAATGGACCCAGGATATGAACAGACACTTCACCAAAGACGACATTCAGATGGCCAACAAGCACATGAAGAAATGTTCAAAATCCCTAGCTCTAAGAGAGATGCAAATCAAAACAACTATGAGATATCATCTC